GGAGACAATAGGAAAATGGATTCTGTTCTTTTTCAGGTATTTCTCACTTCACATGAAATGAGCAAACACTCCCACAGGAACCGTTAAAACAAACCAGCATGCTTTGGACATAGAAACCCATTTAGCATGCTGTGGGGAAGGATAGCCCTTTCCTTTGCACCCCAAATCCCATGAATATTAACAAAAACAATAGGGATTGATCTGTAGTACGCCACACAGGAATAGCCTGACACGATTTGTTGTCCTCCTATGAGGAAATCTTCACTGCTGACTGAAGAATTTGAAGAAGCAGAAGAAAAAAAAAAAAAAAACACCCCCTTTTCTGGATTAAATGCTCTTTAAATGCTCTTTCAGTCTGCCCATACTACCAAAACTGAGGTGTCCAACTCCAGGACAAAGTTTAGAAAAAAACCTATTCCATAAGATAAAAATCACAGTAAAAGACCTTCATACAAACAGATACAGCCACATGTATATAAGTTGCACAGTTTAGAGTCAAAGACATATACAAAAATGGAGATATTCTGTTTAATTTTGTCACTAACATACCCCAGCAGGGTCAAAATCTTTTGCAAACATTTTGGGAGTCCAAAGAAGAAAGAATACTTCTAATGTGACAAAAGATAAAAGATTCAGCTCCTACCAACATTATATTAGAAAGAAAAAGAAGAAAAGATCCCACAGACTGAGGAGAAAAATTGCACAAGAAAAAGGCTTAAAAAAAAATTTACTAAATCAGACCCAATATCAAATCAGTTTTTTAAACCCCCTTTAAATAAGCGTAACAAATAATCTGTACCCACAAACACACCCCTTGTACCTGCTAGAGTAGATAACAAGGCCAAAAAGAACCACCTGCAGCAGGAGAGCATTAAATAACTGCCTGGCTCAAGTGTTGACCATTGATAATTTGTCACCTCTGACAGTGCAGCCCATGCTTCCTTTTAAAGGGGTCATTCAATGCTGTAGAAAGAAGAGTGTCCATTTAGAGTCATTTTTACCAACAGACCCGTGTTTTGTTGATGCTTTTTCTCTAGAGCTGCAGTGTCCTCTGTACAGTTGTCATCCAGGCTGGGCTGAAAATTGGGAACTCCCTGTTGTTGTTCCCCCCAAAATAAAGACCCCTGGGAGTCTTTCAAGCACTTCTGAAGTTCAGAAAAAAATATTTCTGCCATCCATAAGATGTTTATATCTTTAATATGTAAAAATTGAATACTAAAAAAAAAGGTTAAGGGTTACATATCATTTCATTTATCAGTCCTATATCATTATACATATTCTTTAGAAATCCATAAAGAAAATCAGACATAGCCAAGAGAATTACTTTCCTAAAAGCTCCTTACATTGCAGGAAATGTGGGCTCGCTCCTCCAGAGAATTTGATGCCTTCCACACAATTCACAGCAATCATCACAAAATAGCTTGAAAGGTTTAGACTGAAGCCAGAGCAACATCTCAGCGGTTTTAGAAAAACAAGATCGTGAGCTCTTCTGACCCATTTGAAAGACATAACATCTATTATATATCTGTAAAATCCCTCCTTTATCCTTGACTCAGCTTTTATAAAAGATGGGTATTCACTTTGAAGAAAATAAAGAGATATTAGAACATTTATTTGGGAAAAAAAAAAAGGACTCATTGACCTCGAGGAGTTGAGCATGCCTAAATAGATTAAGCAACTTCATCTACTTGTCCTAATATAAGCTCAGAAGTAAATATTTTCTGCACCCAGAATAATTTTGAATGTGGTATCAAGTAATGGTTGATCTTTTCAACTTGTACTTTTCAGTAACACCTTTCAAAAGGTTTCTGTGTGATTGTGCACAAGGAGACACACGGTAAGAGCAGGCTGTGCACAGCAGTCACAGACACAACTGCCAGGTCTGCCCTCAGCAGGAGGGATTACTCACAGCAAGGACAGAACATGCTCGGAGCTTCACCAGATAATTCAGTTGGACCAAGCACTCCAGGCTAACTGCAAAACCAGCCTGAGATACAAACCCAGACCCTCTGCAAAGAAAAGCTGATGACATTTCAGAGCTCTATGAAACTAAGAGACCATAATCTGCTGCCATATCTGAATTTATATACTTTTGTAACTTTTAGAATCCTCCTGAGCAGGAAATATTACATATTTCTATGCAAAATACATATGCAAAATACATATGCAAAATACTATGCAAACACGTTTACAACAATGCTCAGATTCGAGAAGTCATAAAAAAGGAAAATGCAGCGGAAAAAAAGAAAGTATCTAATAAAGGAAGCCCTGGGGGAGCACAGCCAGGCAGGAGACATAATGACCATCAGTTACCAGACATAAACTAGCCATGGTACATGTCAGCTTACTACTCTACCTAGAATAGCTGGGCTCCATCAAAACTGGTCAGGCCTCTAAAAGAAACAGTGTGAGAAAAGGAAAATACTCCTATCCTAAATGTGAGATAACCTGTTGGCGCATAAACTACTTTATTCTTTTATATAATAAAATATAAGCAGCTACAATTGCTTCACTGTTCTAAGCCCAGAATAAATCATACAGAAACGAGGCACAACTTCTCTCCTGGCTGCAAGTCAAAAACCCTCCCTGAAAAATGCACCAGAAGCAACAGGGCTGCACGGGGCGAGAGCAGCTCAGCACCTGCCGCCATGTCTGCATTCGCTGTACGCTGTAACTGGTAATGAAAATGAGGAAAATCTGATGAAAAAATTGACCTTGCCTCGGGCCCCATCTCACAGATAGCTTCTCCTAAATAAGCATAATTTCTTTTGAGAAGCACTTTTGGGCATGGCGACCCCTGCAAAACAGCTGGAATAAACATAATTTGGGGGTCGATTACTTAGCAGAATATCTTGGGTTGAAATAATAAGAAAACGCTTTGGGTTTTGTTTGTGTTTACCTTTTTCTTTCTCTCTCCCCGCACTGCACACTTTCCAGTTCCTCTCTTTTCCTGCCTCCTCCTTTCCCTCTCTCTCTACCTCCTCACCCTCCTCCTCCTCTTCCACCTTCACATCTGCTCTCATCTCTCCTCTCTCCTTGGCCACTCTCTGTCCTCTCGGATGCCATTAGGAAAGATGCCGAATGAGTCTGCAAGGGGCCATCCCCACTCCATGCTCCCCCTGCACTACAGCACAAAGAACAGCAGTCGCTTGTATCCCAGAAGTGGTTTATTTATCTCAGGGGATTACAGTTTACACAGAGGAAGTAAAAGATTACGCGGACTGAATCCTTTCAAAGCATGGGCTCAGCCTCTCTGAGCTGCAAGGAGAAGGAGATCCCACTTGGCCCTTGCTCCTGACACTCCTTCTTCCCATTTCTCTTTTTCCATCCAAAAATTCCCTTCGCGTGGCACATGGGGAAGGCAGCGTGGGCCTGGACTGGTGCCGCTTCTTGGTGGGACGGGAAGGGCAGGAGCCGGAGGCTGGGATGGCAGCCAGGGCAGGCCGCACCAGCACACAGGATGGCGCCTGGATGGAGCTGCTGCTCTGTGCAGGGAGGACCCGCGGTGCCCAGGACACTGTTCTCATTCCTCCTTTCGTATTACAATGACTTTTTCCCATTTTATGCAGGCAGCAGCGCTTGGCAGTGACAAGACCAGCCCACGTGCAACTCGAGGCCAGTGTGACCTTAACCCCACAGCACCAACCTCCCAGCTCAGCCTGTCTGGAGCAGCAGGGGGGCAGACGGCCAACCTGCAGCGTCTTTCATTTACACTCTCCGGGTTGATGCTATTGCTCGTCCTAACATGGCAGGCATGATTCTGAGAGACCAGAAAACTTCAAACAACAATACCAAAACCTTTATTGATTTTCTATCTAGAATTTTTAATATTTAGCTTCAGCAGCGGGGGGCCTCCCCTCTCCGACGTTTCCTGGAGCGGGCGCTTCCCACGCAG